TTGACTCTCCTTGATGTGCTGAAGTACAATTCCTGTTTCTATTTTAAGTCACTCTCCTCTGCTACTCTGTCCTTGGACATTCCTTGCAGGTTTAAAGCATCCTCTACAAGACAATTATGTATTGATCCATTGGCATTCCAACCTTATTACTAAGCCTATTTCCTTTTGAAATTTTCCCACATAGTACATGCCTAAGCATGCCTGTTATATAAGGGATTCTCTATTTAATTTACATCTCTCAGTCCAATGTACAAACTTTGAAAGCAGCTTGACAACTCTTTCAATTCACAATGGAAAAACACCCTCACAGTGTAAAACATGCATACGTTATAGCCAGACAGGAATATTAAAAAGAGACTATATTTTAAAATAGAAGGATTACTGTACAAAGTAACTACACATCCGCTAGTAGAATTCTAGTGAATTGAATTGGTGGCAAGTTACTCAAAGGCCATCCCACCAAGACCTGGGACACTTTACCCATTTTGGCAAGCAGATTTCCTTAGTAAGATTATTCAAATTTTGTTGAAGAAAGTGAAAACAGAATGTAATTTATGAAATGTGCAGCTCTTAAAGCAAAAGGTCCTGTAATGAAATGTTTCAAGCTTAGATTTTAGCCGCAGATAATAGGGAGTTACTGTAGAATTTTGAAGCAAAATGACTTGACAGGTTTTTGTGGAACTGTACACTTGTATGAATTCTAGCAAGATTGATTTGTATTGTATGATTTTTCTCTAAATACACAGCCATTTAGATGTATTAGTACAAGTATCAGCTATGGGACTAAGATATATAGTTTTAGGTATAAATATAAGGTGTAATATTAACATAAGAGCATGAGGAAGATAGCAGCTCTGTGAAAGAAGCTTTAAGGCATTGATCATAGGGCCAGGATGGATAAAGAAAGAAAACCAAAAGGGGAAAGAATGATCTTCAAGAGAACAAGAAAAATAAAAAGCCCTCTCAGGTGTCAAAAAATAGGTTTATTGGGCCCGGCGCGGTGGCGCAAGTGGTTAAGGTCTCGCCTTGCACATCCAAGATCCCATATGGGCGCCGGTTCTAATCCTGGCGGCCCCACTTCCCTTCCAGCTCCCTGTCTGTGGCCCGGGATAGCAGTCGAGGACTGCCCAAAGCTTTGGGACCCTGCACCCGCGTGGGAGACCTGGAAGAGGCTCCTGGATCCTGGCTTAGGATCGGCATAGCATCGGCCATTGCGCTCACTTAGGGAGTGAACCATCGGATGGAAGATCTTCCTCTCTGTCTCTCCTCTCTGTATATCCGCCTTTGCAATAAAAATAAAAAAAATCTTTAAAAAAATGGGATTATTACATATTGGAAGTGACAGAGTAATAAAGATGAAAGAACAGAAAATGCTGAGTTTTTTGGATCTATGCTCTCCAATATAATAGTAAGCAGCCACATATGGCTGTTCATTTTAAATTAATTAAAAATAATGTTCCATAGGGTTACACTTCAAGTAGGCAGGCTGTTGTACAGTCCATGTTGAATGGGATGACTAAAACGTTTCCATAATGCAGACAGGTCCACTGAGAAGGGCAGTTCTAAGTTCTAGCAAGTGCCCAGCAATGTTAGTTACTGAAGGTAAATGCAACAAAAGCTGTGCCAGGAGAGGCAATTAAGGAACCAGGAAGGTAGGATCTTGAGTAGATTTACCACAGAGACATTGAATTCACTCTGGAAGGTGGCAAACATCTGAATGGAGAAGGTATGAGAGAGACTAAGTCCCACAATGAGTATAGGGGTGTGATCAGAGAGGCGAGCTCAACAGTTTCGGGAGGTGTCATGTTTCCTGCCAGTGAATCCTAAACCTTGTGTGCTTTATCGTAGTGTTCATTGTTCCTGAAACGTGCTTCATTGTGTGACACAGTTGTGGTCCAGATTACACTGAACTTTCCTTCAGTAGTAAAAGAAAAATTGCTGCTTCTGAAATTTCAACCTGCTTGTGCCAACTCAATTCTGTGGAACTGAAAAAGAAGCTACTGCATTGTGTGTGTAAAGATTAGATGAATTAGGCACCTGAAAATAAAGCACCCAACACAGTTACAGATCCATACCGAAGACTTAACGGAGATTATAGATACTAGGATACATGACATAGCAATCTTTGATTACAGTTTGGTTTGGGTAGGTTTTTTGAGTTAATTAAGCACTTTTATTACCATCCAGGACTACAGTGAGGTTTTTGTGATCAATTCAAGAGCCCATTATGTAAAATATGGACTAGCTTGTTGATGGCTACAGATTATTACACGCAGCATCTGCAGTGGCTTCCTAGCTGTCATGGCCACCTCTTTCCTTTTCTTGGGAGTTGGCAGCTGAAGTACTGGCCCAGAGTGATCCTTCTGTACTGACATTAACTCATGAGTCCACACAAGTCCCCAGGACTCTTATTCCTCTTCCACTTACCCCAATGTTTATTATTACAGCACCCAACCCAGAGAAGATTTACTGTTTTGGCAAGGCTATGAATACTTTATTTGGACGAGTAAACGAGGACTGTTTTTCTCCGCAACTTAAATTTCATAAGCTTATATCCAGTTCCTCTTCTTCCACCTTTGCTAATCCCTCACAATTGTGTTCATTTTCATTAATATTTGTAATTTTATTGCCATTTGTTTTCATAAACTGGAAATAAGCCGGCTGCTATAGTCCTATTTCTTACTTTTCAATGGACCATACGTTTTCATTCTGTTGATTCTGCTAGGTTGTATAGTTATTTGTGTATAATAGGCTCTTCCATAGCAATATGCAGCGGAAAATTCCTTTTGACAAGCCATAGCAAGCTTAATTGAGTCATGACGTATGCCGTTAAATAGTTTCCAGTGAAGCACACAACCCTTTTTCTAAGGCAGCATATGGCTTTCCTGAGTTTCAGAATGATCCTACAGTCTCATATGACTAAAGAAATTAATTTCTTCATTTGTTAAAAGTTACAGAAATGTATGGGATTAATATTTGACTTAGAAAATCAAATTTTAAGGAGGTGCGCACTCTAACAAGGCTTATTCATCCTTAGCTTTAGTAAAGACTATTAAAAATTTAGTTTGATTTGCAGGTCTTGTTTAATATGTTTTGCTTTTCTTACTTAGTCACTCCCAATGAGAAGCCCACATCAACTCTTTTGTATTGTATTTTAAATGTCACGGGTTAGTATTAATAGAAATTATTCTGTCAAGATAGTATTTCAGATTCTCTGCCACTGACTTTGCACCCTGAAGTCATTCCAAATTCTGACATTATTTTACTGTTTTCAAGACAGATGCTGCTTGAGGTTTCAACACCAATACCAGCTTATCAGCACACATTAATTACCTGTGAACCTCTATCTGAATATTCTTCAGATGCTCATGGGATTTGGGCATTTTATAGTGCCAGAGTCAGCCTAAGGACTAACAGCAGTAATGGGCATCATACATACTTCCTCTTCAACGCAGTAATAGGAAAGAGAGGGAGATTGTAAAACACTGATTTGAGCCATATAAATGGCAGGAAAATAAATTGTGCTATCTGCTCTATTTGTCCCGAAAGCCAAATTTTCCTAAAATATAAGTAGTCCCATTCAATTGCATCAAAGGATTTCATGGCATCTAATTCAATTGTTGTTACTGGTTCTAATTTTCTCTTCGTATTCCGGATGAGTTTCATTAGTCTCTGAAGAATCACTGATGCTTTGCTTAGAGGCATAAAGCCCCTTCAGATAAGGGTCTATTAGATTTGTCATTATTTGGTTATGTAGTAAGTGTTCAGGTAGCTGTTAGTGAAGATTGAAGGAAAAATATTTTCCACAATACTGCTAAGAGAGTAAGGTGCAATCTTGAGTATAAGGCTATATGGTTATATGTAATAGAATAAAGAACTGTAGGGCACCTTGATGCCAAAGCACATTTGGGATAATGTATGAGATGGCAGCACCTGCAGGTAGAGGATTAGCCAACTGAGTTATCATACCGGCCCTGCAACCTCCATTTCCCTTTTTAAGATTTATTTATTTTTATTGCAAAGTCAGATATACAGAGAGGTGGAGAGACAGAAAGAAGCTTTTTTGTCCATTGATAGATTCCCCAAATGGCAGCAATGTCAGACCTGAGCCAATCCAAAGCCAGGAGCCTGGAGACTCTTCCTGGTCTCCCACACAGGTGCAGGGTCTCAAGGCTTTGGGCCGTCCTCAACTGCTTTCCCAAGCCACAAACAGGAAACTGGATAGGAAGCAGGACCTCCACAATTAGAACTGGCGAACATATGGGATCACGGCACATTCAAGTTGAGTTCAAGGCACATTCAAGATCCGCTAGGCTATTACACCTGGCCCTAACCTCAATTTTTATAACACCATTTAAAACAACTCAGTGCCAAAAAAAGTAATATTTAATTACTTATTGCTTTTTTTTAACATTGCAAGGTTCTTCTAAAATTCCATACAACAACGAATAAGGGTAAACAGTATTGACAATGCTGAGAGTTCCCAAAAACTACGCTCAGAAAACATGGGAGGAGGGCCTGGGCTCTGGAGCCAGTTTTAATCTCAGCCCCCTCCTTTTACTTACAGGGCAGCCGTGGCAACCTATGAACAACACTGGGCTTGGGTTTCCTCATTCCCAAAAGGGGGCTAAAAAATTAAATTCTGAATTTTTTTAAAGGTTAAAAAAAGACAACAAATATGAAGAAATCAATCAAGTTTAGTGGTCAATACATGTTAGCTGTTTTAATGCAATTATTGAAAATAATAAACATGTATACAAACTACACATGCCTTTATTTTTCAATAATTATAGAATGATATGTATATTATAAGTATACAGACTGTTTCATGATATTACAGTCGAAAAATAATCAAAGATAATAGTGAAAGTTTATTCTGACTAATCTACATAGAGGAAATTTGCTTTGTATACCTACAATGTCAATAAATAGCACCAAACAGAAAAAAACAAATCAGTAAGCATAAATTACATATAAAAAAGTATTTTTCTCTATATCAATAGAATGAGAGTATAGAAAAAAAACTGTCCTAGGTTATCCCAGTTATATGAGCCCAGTTTACTTAAAAAATTAATGAATAGTCTACATAAAATTCATAGAACACAGTGAGCAACTGAAAACATTCAGTAAACAAAATTTTTATAATCAGAATTTATTTTAAATTACAAAATCTAATTTCTAAACAGACACAGTCTTTCGAAATATGTTACACAGTTTTCCTTAAAAGCTAGAAAATTATGCTTAGATCCAAGTGAAGCCATTTCTGCAAAAAACACATAAACACATGATCTCAACCTGAAGCAAAGCCCTAACCACTCTGGGGAAAATATATATAATATTCCCAGAATATATGTAAATAGAGGGACATTCAGTAAATGCTACTGCGTAAGGTAATAGCAGAATCCACCCTTATTCAGTTTCTCCTTCCTGTGCACAAATACGTAACATCATACCCTCATAAACCATCTTATAACAGAGTGAAATTAAAAAACCCCTGTAGACAGCAACTGTAAGAGAATCAGATTCTGTGATGTTCATTATGCCAACAGTGATGCAAGAAAACTCTCCAAATATACTTCAGTTACTGCAGTTGTTAATCATCCTGGTTTGGTCTCAAGAACTTGCTCTATAGCCTGCTGGACAGACTCCATTATTTTACAAGCTGAATGTCGAAAGCCAAGAATGTGCATGTGAATCTGCTATATTCAATCCTTCTCAACATAATTTACCCTTTCAACTTGGATTTGTGAATACTGACACACAAAAAACATGGGGGAACTAAAGCTGATGTCAATAGAACCACCGACCTTTGCTTATGTAGAAGATGTTCTTAACAGAAAGCAACTTGGCAAATAAGAAACCCATTTTGCTAGAACTAGCAATGCTATGGCTAAGAAGTTAGTCACAGAATAACAATCAGTTCTTAACAATGAAAAAGGGAATAACTCTTAAAAGAATCTGTAACTCTGTTAAGCAGAAAAATGCTAAGGGTATTGGCAATTGTGCATTCTTAAACATTCAAAGCCCTAAGACTGCGGAGAGAATAAATTTCTTAGCATTTTTATGTACTACACCTTGTATCCTTGATTAATTTAACTATAAAATGTCAAGTAAAAGACAGCAGATTTATTATATAAAACAAACACCATCTGCACCACCTGAATTCATTGCTACACATAGACTTCTAAGAAAATCCACCTGAAAAAATCTTAAGTCTGCATTCTAGTGTACTAACTACAAGGGATTCCAAACAAGAAAAATGGCTGTAAGATTATTTAAATATTAACATATAAAGATTGCAGGATAATAAATATAATAATATATTAACATGTTTTAAAAATTCATGTCACCATTTGGCTATACTCCATGTTTTCTTTAGTTTGGCTACATACATTGGGCCCCAGGCTTTGCCCTCATCTGGAATCACCAACAGCCCACATTCCTGGTCAGTGGGAGCAAATGTGAAGTCTTGCAAGCAAGTCCTTGCTATTCCTTTAAGGTCCATAGGAATAATGTTACTGTGGGAGTTTAGAATTTCATTGATTACATCTTGATTTTCCGCCTTGGAAAGTGTGCATGTAGAGTACACAAGTAACCCTCCGGGGCGTAAAGCCTTAATTGCAGACCTGCACATAATCAGAGAATGCAAAAGATTAGTTAGGTATATTAAAACTAAACCGTGGGTCTGAGGCAAAGATTGCATAGTTGAAACTAACTTTACTCTAACTCAGACTGCAAAAGCTTTGAATGTTTTCTAGCCTTATACATATTTCTCATTTATCCTAGAGTGAATGGGAAAACATTCTAAGTAAAAAGAAAGCAATGGTGACTTGTAGATCCTTTGTTCTTTAAGGAAAGGATGAGGTGGGTAGAACATGGAATATTGAGTTCATCTTTGAATCAATGAGAATGGAAAAAATAAGGTATAAATTGAAAGTACAAATAAGAAAGCAGATTTCATATTCACATATTTTATAAAGCTTGCATTTAAGATTGATTAATTTGAAAGGTAGAGTGATAAAGAGAAAGGGTGAGAGAAAAAAAACAACAAAAATTCATTTTAAAAAGTAGAAAATATAGGAAACAAAATAAAAATAAAATCTAATAAAGGCTGGAAAATCAGCAAAGCTAAACCTCAGTAAAAAACAGAATGCAATATAAAAAATGGTATCTCTTGGAAATGAAATATCAGGCTACCAAAATAAAAAGTATTTTGTATCAGTTTGTTAAAAGCTAAAGTTGCAGGAAAATGCTCCAAAAAGTTAGAATAATATTTACTAAAAAGAGACAAAGCAGAGTAATCAAATAGATATAAAATTCAATTAACAGAATAACTAGGAAGAAATACAGAGAATTTTGGGAGATGGGATTGAATCAACATAATAATAGCATTTTCCAGAGATAAGGAGGCATATGAGTTATTTAAGCTTGAATTCAAGCTGGCAGACATAGAATATAACATGGAGGTAAGTGTATCACAAGCTGAATCCTGTCCACCCTCAATTCCTATGCCTACGATGCTCAGAGTGTAACTATCTGAAACCAAGGTTTATATAAAGAAGTGACTAAGACACTGACAAAGCAGAAGAAAAACAGAATCAGGAAAAGTATTTAAGTGCTTATTTTGTGAAAAACAAAAGCTAACAGTTATTTCTGGTTATTTTAAAAAGGACAAAAAACAAAGACTGAAGTATTTAAAAAGCAACTTTCCACCACTAACAGAACAAAAAACGTGGGTCCAAGCAGACAGCACCAAATTTCAGAGCTGACAAGAGGAGGAAATGGGCAAGCCCAAGCACACGGGGTGCAGGGTGGTGGCAAGAGGGCTGGCAGAAACATGGGCAGTCACCAATATCTATAGTGGATGCATTCTTTCAAAGTTAAGGATAAATATGCTTTTTAGAATTTAGGATAACCTAGAGAGGAAATTAAGGACAGAAATAATTAGAAGCAACTGCTTCTGGAGGACAAGGCTGGGGGGAGGGAGGGAGGAAGGGAAAGTTTCTGGTAACTAGAAGTGCATTTATATTTTTAATTTTATATCATGCATCTTAGTTCTACAATTGCATAAATTAAAGAGGAGCACTTACAGTATGATAAAATATCACAATTTCTTCCAATGAGATTACGTTACTTTTTTTTTTCTTTTTTACAATTTTGGCTCTTAATGGATGACTTCTCTAGAAAATGTATTCATGGATGTTCCAGATAATTTAAAATGTTGGTATACAGAATTCTAGACTTCCTATGTATTCAATGATTAAACACTTGCCACTTATAGCTTACTTCAGAATCTGTTGTTAGTCTCTAAGAAATCATTTTTATATGTAGCTTTCCCCCATTTTTCACTGTGCTCCAGATACCGCCCTCAGGGACTGTTGCGTGAAGAGTCAAAATTAAGCTTAGGATGCCAGCATTTCCATGTTGGAGCACCTAGCTCTGAGTCAGCTCTGGCTCCCAGTCCCAGCTTCCAGTTAAAGCAGACCTGGGGAGGCAGCATGTGGCGACTGATGTAGTTAGGTACAAGCAACTCACATGGAGATTCAGACTGAGCTCCTGGATTCCATATTTGGTCTGGCCCAGTCGTACCCATTGCAGGCATTTGAAGATTGAAGCATCAGATGCGAGCCTGTTTCTCTCTGTCTTTTGCTTACCCTCTCTGTCTCTATATTTCCAAACTGAAGAATTATATATACTTGATGGGGAAAACAAAAGATTCACATCTAGATGCCTGAGATGAACTGCCAATGGGATAACATCCTGTGCTACGAACAATAATGATCATCCAAACATGTCCACACCCTAATCCCCAAAACCTAAGGATAGTTGGATTCTCAAACTAGTTTTAATGCAGTCAACAAAGGTCATTTTTAATGAAAGAGGGAGGATAAGAAAACTAGAGTAGATGAGATGATGAAAGCTAAGGTGGGATGACAGGTTGCTAGCCAAACACTATGAGTCAAGGAACATGCGTTGCTTCTGGGAGGTAAAAAGAGAAGCGATTTTCCTTCAGAATCCCCAAGAAGAACATGGTTCTGCCAGGGCCTTGACTTTAGCCTCAAAGGACCCATTTTGGACGTCTGCCATTCAGAATGATAACATGTATTATTTTAAGCCACATAATTAGTGGTAATATATGACAGCAGGAAAACAACCAATACATACCTGCTGTTGTCTTTCCATTTTCATACCGGCACACTAAAGCAAGCGTAGTTTGCTACAATTTTATAAAATTAAATTATACTTTCTATTTTTTTAAGATTTATTTTTATTGTAAAGGCAGATATACAGAGAAGAAGAGAAACGGAGAAGAAGATCTTCTTTCCAATGGTTCACTCCCCACAAGTGGATGCAACGGCCAGAGCTGCGCCAATCCAAAGCCAGGAGCTCTTTCGGGTCTCCCACATGGGTGCAGGATCCCAAGGCTTTCGGCTGTCATTGACTGCTCTCCCAGGCCACAAGCAGGGATCTGGATGGGAAGTGGGGTTGGCAGGATTAGAGCCAGCGCCCATATGGGATCTGGCTTGTTTAAGGCGAGGAATTCAGCTGTTATGCTATTGCGTTGGGCCCTAAATTATACTTTCTACTGACTACAGCAATAGGTAAACTGCACCCGTGTGGGAGATCTGGAGGAGGTTCCTGGCTCCTGGCTTCAGATTGGTGCAGCACCAGCCGCTGTGCTCACTTGGGGAGTGAATCATTGGACGGAAGATCTTCTTCTCTGTCTCTCATCCTCTCTGTATATCTGACTTTGCAGTGAAAAATAAAATAAATATTTAAAAGAAAAAAGCTACACAAAGCTATAGAGAAGCCTAGAGAAACCTCATCATTTGCAAACATTATGGTCCTGACATGATACAAATTTAATCTCTTTAATGCTGTCCATGTTGGCTGATTCCTTGGCTTTGTTATCCATCCAACAGTCATAACTTATTATTCTAAAATTTGATAAAACTTAACTACCTGTATTAATTTCTAAACAAAGAAATTGTCTGTGGTAATATTAACTGGGTTAATTTTAAAACCCTGGGGGAAATGTTAAAGGTTCCTATGAATGATGGTTGATAATTTGGTACTGATGGTTGTCGCTTAAATATTACTTTGCACCTTTTGCTTGCCATAGATTCATGTTCAAAGATCAAGGAAAGCAGGAAGAAAATATGTGGAAAGCAAAACATCACTTGCAAAAATCATAGTAAGATTTCTTTATGCTGAGAATTATCTTATCCCACAAATGACATTTTTCTCATGAATTGAATCAGTTTATATTGTGGTATAATATTACTTGGTATAAAACTACTTCTGTAGTCAGAATTTATCAAAGCACATACTTTTCATATTTAATACATAAATGGTTAAGAGTATTCAAATTTAGTTAAGGATAGAACATTCAACAACTGTATAATCAGATTATTTCACTGATTTAAAGAGCAATACTGATCTGCATCTTGCAATAAAAATGACATTTTCACAACAAACTATGTGGATATGAACTTCTTTCTAACATATAAACACTCAAAAACATATGCAGAACGTGCTGACCAAATAGAGCATCAGCACAAATCATCTATTTCCCTAACAATTCACAAGTATTTTTTTATTTCATTTTATGACACAGTTGGGATTCCCCCAACCCCTTCCCTAAGCCCTCCCCCCATATTGATTTCCTCCATATTATTACAGCAGGACAGAGCATAACCAGTCATAATTCCATCATTGCAGACATGGACCATGCAGAGTTCAGCATCTTATTGTCCAGATAAATTCAACAGCTTCTCCAAGCCCTGTCCGGACACAAGTATTTTAAATAGAAGATTCTTACAAGTATTATCACAAATTTATATATCATAAACAAAGAACCAACTACATATTTTGAAGAGAGTGAGATTTCAAAAATGTTGTTTTAAAAGAGAAATGAAGATTCAATCAGAAAAAAACTCTACCAAGAAACTTAAAATAAGGCTGACATTGGGGTACAGTAGATTAAGCCACCACTTCCAATGCCAGTATCCCATATCACAGGGTGGTGAGACTCTAAATACTCTGCTTCCAATCTAGCTCTTTGCTGAGGTGCCTGGGAAAGCAGCAGAAGATGGGCCAAGTACTGGGTTCCTTGCCACCCATGTGGGAGGCCAGGATGGGGTTCTCGCTCCTGTTTTTGCCTGCCTGAGACTTGGTTTTTTGAAGCCAAGCTCTCTCTGTTGCTCTACCTTTCAAATAAATAAATGTTTGAAGCACACACATTTATACACATACACTCACACACATACACAATGTCAAAATGTCTGCAGAGAAAAAGATACTTAGGAATTAGATTTTGATAACAGCAATAAACTCCAGAAAAACTGGTATTCACCACCTAAAAAGGCAGCACTGGAAACAGAATAAGACATGCTGCATGTGGTCTAGTAGAAGGAAGCGGTTCTCCATGCATGCATAAGCTTATGTGCAATCTAGTACTTAAAAAAAAAACTTTAAAATAATAAAAAGAGAGGCAGCAAGACAGAGACACAGAGTCACAGAGAGTGAGCTCCACGTGCTGGCTTACCCTCTGAATGCCTTCAACAGACTGGGATAGGCCTGGGCCAGAGCCAGGTGCCAGGAACCACCTCTCTATCTCTCACAC